GGAAGTGTTGTTGGTTGACGCTAAACGAGCAGCTGGAAGACGGGCTCTCACACAAGGGATGTGCAGTCGACAGATGGCTTTGCCCAGATGTCGTCGGCTATGTTATGTATAATAGAATTCTGACGGCGGGAAGAAGGAGGTGTTGGATGCCGTGAGCTGCTGGGCTATGGTATGTATGTTTGAAGTCCGACGGCGGGCAAAAGGTGTTGGATGCCGAGATGGTGGTGTTGAAGTTAGGATGGAGGAAATGACTTCTGCAGAATGCACGATCCACTTTTTTTTTTTCTATTTCTTTTTTGTTTTGTTTTAATATTTGTTTTTTTTTTTGGGTTTTAATTTTCTGTTTTTAGGTTTTAATTTTAATTTTTTTTTATATGGCCTAATAATTCCTACATGGCCTAATTAAATTATTAAATACAGATTTGGCTGACATGTGTGATAAAAAAAATACCATGTCACGCCACATCACCTTTTTTATCCGGGTGGGATAAAAAAGGACCAAAAATGATAAAATCGACAAATTATAGGACCCAAATTGAAAGTGGTCTATATAGGGGTGGTTTTTTGAACTGTGGCCAAATTATAGGACTAAATTTGAAATTTTGCCCAGCTTCTTTGGACACCAAAAACACGTAGAAGCTAAGGCTGCTATCGCTGTTTATCGACATTAGTGGACTACCTTCCTTCAACTTGTATTTTAGGTCAAACACAGATGATTGTGTCAACACGAGTTCCTCACACAATACATCGCACAATTCCCTATAGCTGCCTTCTTTTCGAATCACAACACCAGACAATTGGTAGTTCACGTAATCATTCACAACCTATTCACCCCCATGATGTATGAATATCATCATATTCGGATCCATCTGAAAAAAAAAAAAAAAAACGTGGACATCAGAATATACATATACCATCTGAAGCAAAAAAATCAATAGATTGTATGAATTCAAAGTAATATAAGTCCAATTATTGCGAAAATATACCTGTAAATTACTGTCAAAGTTCATGAGGTTTGTACGATAATATACCTGTAAATTACTGTCCATGGAAATTTCCGATCGCCTCTCCACGAAAATTCCGATCGCCGCCCCATGAAAATTCCGATCGCCTCTTTTCAACGACGATCATGCATTCATATTCAAAAAAAGTGGACATGAGAACATACATATACCATCTCAAGGAAAAATCAACAGATTGTATGAATTCAAAATAATAAAATTCCAAATATCACGAAAATATACCTGTTTGAAACTCTCCAAGTTCGTGATTTTTGTACGATAATATACCTGCAAATAACTGTCCAAGGAAATTTTCGATCGCCTCCCCACAAAAATTCCGATCGCCGTCTCACGTTTTTTTTTTTTT